ATAAGTGACAATAAAACCTGGAACTTGAGCATTGAAAGTTTGTGCAGCCTTGACTTCTTGTGGATAACACGATTAGTCATCGCTTCTAATTTGACAGGCATGAGTTCTAAGCCTGGCACTTGCAGTCCAAACAAATTATATACGGACTATAAACTAATTAAATAAAATTCGATTATTTCTAAAGACCACTGATGAAGAGTACTTGGCAATACTCGAAACAGCGTTGTATGGTCAGCCGAACTTCAATAAAATTAAAAATAAATTTTTGTGTTTGTACTTTATTTCTTTCTTTGCTATTCGAAAATTCCAATAAAATATTTTCTTATATCAAAAATTTGATAATTTCAAAACCTACTTTGTCGTGAACGGGATAAACAGGTATCCTATGTCCTTCTCCTGGCCTTAAACTACCTCCCTGCCAATTTTCAGCTAAATCGGTTCAGCCTATATCCTTCTCCTGGCCTTAAACTACCTCCCTGCCAATTTTCAGCTAAATCGGTTCAGCCGTTCTTGAGTTATAAGTGGTGTAACAAAAACACATCTTTCTTTTATATATATAGAGATAATATAATATATATATGTAAACATATGTAATATATGTAACATATGTAAATAGAAGAGTCTTGGACATGTTAATTATGATTTATAATATTAGAAGACATATTTAGTAGTGGAAGAAATTACTTTCTACATTTACATAAACCAAATAGGTTTGTTTAAGACATCATTAAACTAGTACTATAAATTCAGGTTAAAACTGAAAAAAAGCTATATATATATATATATATATATATATAATATATATATGTATGTAGTTCTTTGCTTACTACTATTCCTACTAAACTTACTATTCCTGCATCCATTTTGATTCTACTTAAGTTTTAAATCTGGTTTTGAAAATCAACTTGCTGGAGTCGATGTACTTTTTATGCAATCGGATGGTGGTTTAACTCAAATGGATAATTTTCGTGGTGCTCGGGCAGTTTTATCAGGTCCAGCTGGTGGTGTTGTTGGTTATGCTGTTACTGGAGCGCGTGAAACAGATTTACCACTTATCGGATTTGATATGGGTGGCACTTCAACAGATGTTTCAAGATTTGCTGGGACATATGAGCATGTGATAGAAAGCACTACAGCAGGTGTTACAATACAAGCACCACAGTTAGATATTAATACTGTGGCAGCTGGTGGCGGTTCACGTCTATTTTTTCGTTCGGGTCTCTTTGTAGTTGGTCCTGAATCTGCTGGAGCTCATCCAGGTCCAACTTGCTATAAGAAAGGTGGTCCGTTAACGGTTACTGATGCTAACTTAGTACTGGGCAGAATTTTGCCGCAATACTTTCCTAAAATATTCGGTCCCAAAGAGAACGAACCTTTAGACTATTTAGAGACAAAAAGAAATTTCGAAAAACTTCAAGTTACCATTAATGATTATTTAGCGACCACTGAAGAGAAAAACCATATGTCAATTGAATCAATTGCTTTGGGATTTATACGCGTAGCAAATGAAGCTATGTGTCGTCCAATACGTGCTTTGACACAATCACGTGGTTTGGATACATCACGACATGTGTTGGCTTGTTTTGGCGGTGCTGGTGGCCAGCATGCATGCTCCATTGCTCGAGAATTGGGCATAAGTAAGGTTAGTCATAGTTTATTTTTCATCTTGAAATATATTTATTAATTTTGGCTACTTTTAGGTTGTAGTTCATAAATACGCTGGTATTTTATCTGCTTACGGCATGGCACTTGCTGATGTAGTGCATGAAACTCAGGAGCCGTGTGGCTTAGTTTTTAATGATGAAAATGCTGGAATTTTTGAAGAACGTTTAAATTTGCTTTCAGAAGAATGTACATCTTCGCTAAAGCAGCAAGGTTTTCAAAATATTTCCCTGAAACCATTTTTACATTTACGCTACGAAGGAACTGATTGCGCGCTCATTTGTTCACCTGCTTCATCAAGCAAAACTGATAATATTTTACTAAAAACATATGGTGACTTTTACACCACATTTTTAGAGCGTTATCGCTCTGAATTTGGTTTTGTTCTACAAAATCGCTCAATTATAGTAGATGATATAAGAGTACGTGGTCTGGGTATTAACGATACTCCTCCAGAATTACCGATCGGAGTAGCAGATAATAAGACGCCACAACCAGAAACTTATACTCAAATTTATTTCGACATGGGGGTATTTAACTCACCGGTATATCTTACTAAAGATTTACTTGCAAATCATGTAATAAATGGGCCTGCTATACTAATTGATCAGTTATCAACAATTCTTGTTGAACCAAATTGCACGGCCGAAATCACGGGTTTAGGGGATATAGTGATAAATGTCACTACAAGTGGAACCACTATCGTTGATGATAAACTTGACGCGATACAATTGAGTATATTTAGTCATCGCTTCATGAGCATCGCTGAGCAAATGGGAAGGTATATTCATTCCTATATATATTTAATAGAATCTTAATAGCAATATTTATAATATACAACTTTAGAGTTCTTCAACGTACTTCAATTTCAACTAATATTAAAGAACGTCTCGATTTTTCTTGCGCCTTATTTGGGCCTGATGGTGGTTTAGTCAGTAATGCCCCTCATATACCCGTTCACTTGGGTGCCATGCAGGAGACTGTACAATATCAACTAAAACAACGTGGTGAAACATTGAAAAATGGTGATGTTATTCTCTCTAACCATCCACAAGCTGGTGGATCCCATCTCCCTGACTTAACTGTAATAACACCCGTTTTCTATCAGTATGTCTACATAACTCAATAATTCAATATTGTATGTTAAACTTTTTTTTCTCTAAATACTTCAGAAATGAACTGAAACCAGTTTTTTTCGTTGCTTCACGTGGTCATCACGCCGACATAGGTGGAATAACACCTGGCTCAATGCCACCACATTCCACTTCACTTTCACAAGAAGGTGCTTCATTCAAATCTTTCCTTATAGTTGAAAGCGGCATATTTCAGGAAGAGCAAGTTGTTGAACGCTTTACAACCCCAACTGGTGCAAAAGGTGCTACAGGCACGAGAAATTTGTCAGATAATATATCTGATTTAAAAGCACAAATTGCTGCAAACCAAAAGGGCATACAGTTGGTTTCAGAGTTGATCGATAGCTATGGTCTACATGTAGTACAATCCTACATGCGCTATATACAACAAAATGCGGAAGTGGCGGTAAGGGATATGTTGAAGCAAATAGCAAAGGATACATTACAACGCACTGGTACAACAGTACTAAAAGCAGTAGAATGTATGGATGATGGTTCACCAATAAAATTATGTGTTACTATTGATGCAGAAAATGGTTCTGCACTTTGTGATTTTACTGGATCTGGGGTCGAAGTATGGGGCAATTGCAATGCACCGAGAGCAATTACACTTTCAGCTCTCATATATTGTTTACGTTGTATGGTGGGTTATGATGTACCACTCAATCAAGGCTGCCTTGCGCCTATAAAAATTATCATACCTAAAAACTCTATACTTGATCCTTCTGAGGGTGCAGCAGTAGTTGGAGGAAATGTATTAACCTCACAACGTATTGTTGATACTGTATTGAAAGCATTTAATGTTTGTGCAGCCTCACAGGGTTGTATGAATAATATTACTATTGGTGATGAAATGTGGGGCTATTATGAAACAGTAGCCGGAGGTAGTGGTGCAGGACCAACATGGAATGGTGTTGGTGGTGTGCATACACATATGACAAATACACGCATAACTGATCCAGAAATACTTGAATCACGTTATCCAATAATTTTAAATCGTTTCTGTTTACGTTCTGATAACTCTGGTGGGTTTGGGCAATTTTATGGTGGCGAAGGAATTGAAAGAGAGCTACTATTTCGTAAAGCAGTCACTTTGTCAGTGCTTACCGAAAGGCGTACACTGCAACCTTATGGATTGGATGGTGGTTCACCTGGCAAATGTGGACTTAATTTGTTACAGAAGAGTGATGGACGCATTATTTCACTCGGTGGAAAAACATGTATTGATGTAGAAACTGGAGTGAGTTATAAGTGCAAAAAAATTTGTAATAGATTTTATACGCAAGTTTCTTATTTTAGGATATATTTTCAATGAAAACGCCTGGAGGAGGAGGTTATGGTAAAGCTACTTCTAACTCACAAGCATTGATTGACAAAAACACGAATGCACAGCAATTTACTGAACGAGGCACAGTTTATGAATATCGTCAGGCGCAAGAGTCAGCTTAAAAAATTCTTTGAAGTTATTTTTTTTAAAGTTGGAATTTAAATCATGCAAGTGCAATTTTAAAAAATGTTTTTGTAAATAATTTGTTTTTATATATGCATATATGTGTTTATATTGTTATTAAACTTATTTAACCCATACAATTTTTATTTTAGTCTAATTAGTTATTTTTATTTTGTTACTTTAAACACGGTTCTTCACTAAACCTTGTTGTTTTTGTAACTCTATAAAATAAAGTTGAGTCGAATATTAACGGCTATATTTGAAACACTCAGTCTACCATATAAGTGAGAAATGATTGTACTCGAAATGTAGGCAGTGGATTATAAATTTAGATGAACGAGAAGTTTTTAAGTAAGAAACATTTTTGTCTGGTCAAACATGTTCTGCTTGTTACTTTTTTAATTTAGAAGTAAGATATATAGGGCGATAAACTAGTTGTTGATGTTTGAATCTGGTCGTGTGACTGCTACAGCCCAAGAAGAGGAGGAAATGCTGATAGTGGACAATCTAAGTCCGAGAGCCACTCACAAATGCAGAGCTCAAGAATTATTTAAACATTCCTATGCACCAATCTGAGTCCGAAAACCACTCGGTAATTCAGAGCCCAAGAAATTTTTAAATATTTAAATGCACAAAAACGGTAATTTTTATGAGTAACTAAACTAAATTTGGTATATCTTTTTCTTTGTAATTTTAAACCATAAATTAGTTTTCTTTTTGCTGGTTCTAAACCATAAAATGAATTAATTTTATTCAATATTTAAGTAAAATTTAATTAAGTATATGAGTACTTTCATTCTAACAATTCTTCAAATATTAATTTTACTAAAATAAACTATTTTTGGTTCTAATTTGACTGTCAAAATTTATAATATATACTATATACTACTATAGGAAGAACGAAGTTAGGTGGAGTTATCATTATTAGACTTCGGTTAAGTTAGACTTAACTGAAGAGTTGATACGAAAATTGTACATTTGGCCGCAAAATTAATCGTTTTAAAACGTCCAAACCTAAACGGATTTGTTTGTTGTTTTCGTACGTTGGCGAACGTTTTCGGCATCATTTATCCGTCTACGCACGGGCGTCTTGGAACGAGTGGGTGATGATTTTTTCACTTTAACTTCATTTGCTGTACTTAAAGCGATTCCAAATTGTGCTACATAATATGTAGACATAATTAATATCTATAAAGAAAAGACATCATAAAATTATATAAATAAAAAATATAATATAAATTGTTTGGATATAGGATAATATTTACCCTTGAATATGGTATACTCGTCATAAACATGTCTACTGCAATAAGTCCATCTGATATCACAAACATTATCGTCCCAAAAGCACAAAATGTGCTCAAAAAGTCTTTTTTAATTGTTGCACGAGCCAATGCTCGCCAAGAGGTTGTAAGTAATAACGCCCCATAAATGGGAAATCCGATTGCCAATATAAGATCCAGTTTATTGAATAGTACACCAACCACTGCATAAGTATATAAATAAATTTAATTAAAATTGCATAGTTTTTTAAAATTATGTATAAATTACAGACTGCTCCTGCTAAATACATTGGTATTCCAATTTTTAGCATTAGTGGCTTCCAACCGAAAGCTGATATGTAAAACACATGTCCAATGCCAAATGCAACCATTCCAAATGGAAATAGATCAATGTTAAGGAGTGCATCACCCGCACATGAAAATATCAGGCCAATTAATATTCGTTGTGAATTATGAAACCTTTGGAAATTAAAATATTAATAAATTTATGTTTAAATGACTATAAGGACGTCAGTACTCTTTCGTAAATCCGAATCCTTTCAGTACAATGTAAAACATTAAAAACACGATTGGTGCACATTTTAATAGAGTTGTCCATAGTTCTCCATTCGGATTTTGCACAAATACAAAATATATTACTACTGAATTAAAAAAAGGGGCTAAGTAAAGACTTTGCGATTTAACCTAAAAAACAAGAAAGAATTGTAAGATAAAATTATTTTATGACGTCTTAAATAAGTAAATATATACTCCAATAAGTAATAAGTAATATTATTCAAACATTATTTGTACTTGTATAAATGTCTACTTATTGTCACTTTTATAAGTTTTAACATTAATTAAGATTCCTTGGTATATTAGAACAACAGACATGCATAGAAATCTAAGAATCGGCTCAGTGAAAAAGTATATTAAGGACAGTGCCCTAAAATTATTCACAAAAGTTGATACGTTGCCCAACCCAACTCTAACAAACCTTAAGTCCACCTCAGGACGTACAGGAAGATATGCTGATCTACGGTCCGTCATCAGTTAGAAAATAAATAAATGACAATAATTCTAGTATAGTTAAAGTTTAGTGTGGGGCAGGGGTAAGCCCCCCAGCCACAATAGAGTAAAAGTGCGCAATAGCACTAACTCAAATCACAACAACAACAATATATCAATTATGTAGAAATATGACTTAATTCTCATGATTAGCAACATACATTGAGTTAAAAGTTCGTCTATTTACTAACAGATGAGTTTCTGGAAATAAAGCGATACTGTAAACTAGTAATTTATCTAGTTCTCATGCTAATTAAATGTAGAATATATGTGGAAAATAAAAGTGGAACGTGATATTTATCAAATATTGTTGGTGAATTATCTAGATCATCGTTTGCTAAAACATAGCTAATAATCAAGATTGGAATCGATGGATTATTGCTTGATTTTTAGTTATCTGCCATATTCCTTCAAATTAGAACATCTCCAGAATTCAAAATCTGTTAGGGGCGACCCTGTCTTATACACATGTTTTACATAAATGTTACTTCTCTTGTAACTTCATTATGGAAATTTCTTAAATATAACACATGATAAATATAATAAATAGGAATAATTAAACAACCTAACCAACAACACCAGCTTTTTCAACGCAATCAAGAATAGTGACATATTAATTAAAATTTAGATATAATTTTTAGAATGAAGGACCTAGTAGTCCAGTTCAATATTGTTTTAGTTAACTTTAAAATTTATTTTAGTGTTAACTTACAAATAATTAAATAAATAAATATTCGACGTTTCAAAATATTTAAGCTTGATGATACTTCTTAATTTTATAAAATGTAGTCTGATTTATTCACTCACCTTTTGTATTAATTTAATCGAGATGTAACTAGATTTTTTAAGTTACGCACACTGTATCTGGTTTATTGAGTTGTCTTTTTCGTGTATTGGTTGTACTGTTTGTAATGTACGTGTTATTTATATAATTACTTTATTTTCGTATCCAAACCTTCAGTTATCTACTCACTAAGGCTTTCTTACTGTCATGGCCTCATAACCATGAGGCCATGATTACAAACCCATGCTCGCAGTGAAGGCTAGTCACTGTGGCAAAATGTTAGATCAGAATGTATATTTAAAATTTATATAGAATAAAGTGTAGCGAGGCTTTTAATATATTAAGGAGGGCCTTAAGCTACGACATTGTGTTATAATCACGAGTTTATGAATGGTATAAACGCTTCAGAAAGATCCGAGTATATATTAATAGCACTGCCATAGCCAGGATTGTACCAAGAGGGACGATTATATACTAGAAAATATTTGTTTTGGTTGCGTATAGTTTGTATAATCTGAAGACACAGTCAGTTTCGTCTGATAATATGATATTATTTAGCATATAATTTATAAAGTAAGAAATAATGTTAGCAAGCTGTAGAAGGTAGAATTTTAGAAACATTAGTTGTTAGTTTAAGCTTTTTCTATAAGTATTGTATTATATTCTTGGGAATTGTAATATCCTAGTGAAGTGGAACCGTCGGTGAATCGGTTTGTCTTTGAGGAAGAGCGTTTTGTGCCTGAAAGCTTTAGGAAAATGAATTTGGCCTGTGGGAGGATATCGGAATGAAATTCCGGATAGTAAAGTATCCTTGTGCAAGAAATAGTAAATGCCACTTACTAAAGAGAGTTATTAACAAAAAAGTTTTAATTATGAGTGACATTAGGTCCACACTAATTAATTGTAGTTGATACAATCACGGCCATAGAGTATTTTTTCAGATACTACGTTTAAGTATGTTATTGTCAGCTTTACGGTTTAACTATTAAATAAAAAATTTCTAATTTTAATAATTGTTTATACACAAAATAAAATACAAAAATTCATGGGCACTAGATTCAATTTTCATAATCATTTCAATTATTAAGTAGAGTATTTGAATTTTTTTCTTTTATATTAATAATTAAATTATTAATCTAAACTACCTATGGAATAAAAATATATACTTTAACTTACACACGTTGTTTATTCTTTTAAAGAAAACAAAAATAAAATTAAAGATCAGCGACTTCAAACCATATTTTCTAAAGTCAGATTAGATTTCAACATTTAAGGTGATAAATGTTTTTATTTTTAGATTAAATACAATTTAAATACCGAATCTGTCGTTTAATCATTTTAGAGATTAGCTTATCATAAACTAAGTAGCAACTTCTGTTTTAAGGTAAATAACTACTGATATACCAGAAACCAGTAAATATTGACAAATTATTTCGATCTTGAAACATTACTACTATTTTATCAGCTCTGACATAAATTTAATCAGGAAAAAATGTACTTCAAAATATATAAGCTCTATTTGGTGCTTTAATATCTAGGTGCTTTAATGTACCTAGATATTTGAAATAATATAAAATAGACGATAATAGATTGATATGCCAACAAAACTATAAAATTCTTAATAATATTGTTCAAAATACTTAAGTAGAATATTTGGGATATACAATTTAAAGTCGATCTCATCGTTTTGTACTTTTACTTCTATGATAACTGTGGGGTCTCGGTTTAGAGCAGCAGTTATTATTTCATTCCATGGCAAGCCGCACTAATGTAGTTTATTTCAAGCAGTGTCTGTTTAAAACGCCCTCGTTATTTTTATTCGTTGGGATTCCCAGGATTTAGTAACGTTGTCATGTGATTTTCTTAATCTGAAGTCAACCCAGTTTTAGTTTTTGTTTGTATATATTTATATATCGGATAATAACATATTTGAAGTCAAATCTTTTGATTGTTGGAATTTGCAGAGGAAAAAAGATATATGCTTAAATAAGTTGACAGCTCTATTGTTTTTTAAAATATTAACCTAGTTTCGTATTGATACTCTCTCTTTTGTCGCTATCTCTTATTAATCTATTATTAATATTTTTATTTCTATTCCTGTAGTAGATATCTGGCTTTCAAATAAACATAAATTATCGTTTCACTCTGCATTTCGCTCGCCTAACACGAAGTGTACAGAACTTCTTGTAGTTAGTACATATGTATATCCATTGTAATATATATGTTAATAACCGTATGTAACAGTAGCAATCTGTAATCTATAAAGTTCAAATTTCAAGTTAGTTCTTAAAAGTCAATGCGATATTATCCGTTGTGAAAGTCTACTACCTACGAATAATCGTACCCGAGTGTTGGTATTAGATTATTGTCAAGGCGTCCTTATATGACTTTGAATAATATCAAACACTCTCTGAAATTGTTTGCTTAGTATTACCTACCGATGCCATACTTTAACCATTAAATTTTTATTATTACTGTTACAAATACTAAAGAATAATTTTTGGGTTATTTAATTTATAGTCAACCCAAAACATAATTAAAAATTATAAGTACTACGAAGTTTTTAAGAAAATGTTAAGTTTTTTATAAATCTTTAGTTACTGCCAGCCAAGAAGCAATGAAATCCAATAATTAATTCAAGACTTGATCTGTTTTATTTCACAAAAAAACAAAAAATTTGTGCAAACTCTGCTTTGATTCTATATGTCGAATATGTATATCTCTAAAACATTTCTATTATGCTGATAAAGACTCTCAAGGTATACGCTTACTACTCTTAGGATAACTGTTAACATGGTAATCAAATCAATATATTTTAAAATCATAAACTCCTCTATTGACCATTTAGGTTATCTTTAAAAAAAATCTTCTTCGAGGTTGTAGTAATAAAAATGCTCTTTTGTTCTCTAATACTATTAAAACCAAGCAACCAACATACTCTTTCGACTGTCGTGGAAATTTTCATATTCATTAAGCGATCGTAGTCTGTTAATAATTGGTATCCAAATTTTAAAATTTTAGCCGAAAAAATAGGAACTCTAGATAAGGAAATACCATCATCTATAAACAAGTCATCAGACCATCTTTGTTATATGGTTAAATCGCTTCAAATAAGGCAGTTAAATTTCACATTAAGGAAATACAAACATTTCAAAACATCACCATAAGGAAGATATTCAAAATTCCCAAGTACGTTTGACAGTCTGATATTCATAAAAATCTTTCTATTGAAACCATCATCAAGTACATAATGGTTAGAGCGTCTAAACATTCTAAACTATTTCTCTAAAAATGATGATCATTTCCAGAGTTCATTTTTTGCGCTGGAAAAAATGCAAGTAATAGAGGGAAGATTTGCAGATATCTGTTCTGTTATACAAAAAGGGGGGTTTATAATAAAAGTGATATAGGTTAACATGCACTCCCAGATCAAACGAAAAAAGTGCAGCCAGATGAGGAAGTAAAGGTGCCAGCTGTTACCAACTCCATAAAATCATAATTCACAGCACCAATATCACCTCACAATCCATATATGCCTAAGGGTTTGGTTTTATTATATCCAAACCGATTCAGGCAAATGATTATTATAAATTTTTGGAAAGCATGGTCGTTAGCCACACCAAAAACAGTTTAAGGCTTAATGTATTGTCCCTAATAGAGATAATTTTGATGAAGACAAAACAAATGTTGATGAATATTATTTACCATTTAAATTTTCTTTTTATAATTTTGAATAAGCAATATACCATATTGAGTGTCGATCAACTGATGAAAGTTGGCACATAAAAAAGCAACGCTTGAATTGGATAGGACACGAAGTGCAGAAGCCAGAAGGAAGAGCAGCAGATAGTATCTTCGACAGTGAAGTTAGAACAGCGAAAATAAAAGGAATACCAAGAAAGAGATAGAGTGACAGTGTTCAAAAAGATCTGAGAGATATAAATGTTACCAACTGGATGATAAAAATCAAAAATAGAGAAGAGTGGATAAATCTTGTATAATAAGTTCAAGGATGATGGTGATATAGTGTAGAATATATAAGAGGTTTATGAGGATTATTTCTCTGTGCTACAAAGATCTTCATAAAATGCATTTAATCTTTCTATATTCATAAGAGTGTACGGTGTTAAGAATAACTTCTATTAAAATTCTGATCTTTCTTTTGATTAATCACAAATGGGGTTTTAAAATTTTTTATTATTAAAACATTATGTATATTCTAGGATTTTTATAAAAATTTTTTGTGGAAAATATAGAGCCGTGAACTGCATGATTTTTAAAAGCGGTTTGATGGCGGTTTCTGGTACAATTTACCAGGTTCAATTCAATGTTCGGCTCAATATATATATATATACATAAGATATAGCTCAGCTCACAGCTCAGAGGAGCTGGTTAAAAACCAGTTTTTTGTTTATAAAATTAAATCGCTGTGTTTAATAGAATAAATTTTGGGATTTTTGTATATTAATTAAAGTACTTTTTAGTTTAGTTAAAATTATAATTAATACCATCGATTTGTCTCTTAATATTTTTACAACATCTATTTTATTCTCCGACATATTTTCCTTTCTGTTGCACAACTTAAAAAAATATAGTAAATTTGTGGTAGTTAAAGAGCAAAACTTTTTGGAGTCCTTTTTATATGAGAGCAAAGCTTTTATTATTAGAAAGGATAAATGTATTTTCTACATAATTTAAGAATTGTGCAAGGTCAAGGACAAAAACAAAAATGAGATTTTTTAAAAGTTGTGCGAAACTAATGAAATCGAATTAATTGATTGGTGAAAGGTAAATGTAATCACATATTTAATAAAAAGTAATTACATCATATAAAAAAGAATTTTTAATTAAAATTATTTAATCATTTTTTGATATATAAATTTATTATATGTATAGTCGAATTCACTTTAATGGATAGTACATATAAAAAAATATTTTTTTTTAAGAAGAAATTATGGAACTAAGATATTTTATGTGGCTATAGTTCAAGTCTTTACTATTTGCCCTAGATAATTTAATTTACATAATAGATAATTTAAATAAAGTAATTAATTTACAGGATTATATACACATTTTAATCAGTTAGGTAAAAAGTATTGAGTCGTTCACTGTGAATCAAATATAAAACAATCTATATAGGTACATTTGCATTTGATTTGGTGGACTACTCCTTAGTTCAAGAAATTAAGAATTTTTTTGTTACGGTGGCAAAATTGTTAATATTAAGTAAAGTAAAAGGTATTTTCATTTATAAAAACTTTCATTGTCATTATAGGCACTAGAAATAGGGTCGGGTCCCGTCTTCCTTCCACAAATATCTCTAGCAATTCTCATTGCATATCGATATCATTCAGTTATCATGAATGAAAACACTAATATCATAATAAATAGTTTCTGTTAAGACTTTTAAATATTTATACTATGGTTTATATTATGGTTCTATGATATTACTTATTGTCTTAATACCATTTCTTAATACAATTTCTTAAAAAAACATCATTTGGACATTGTTTCAATAATAAATTTAGTAATAATGTTTTTTCTAATACTTTGTATATCGGTTAACAAATAATAAAATGTTCTTTCTTTTTAAGTAACAAATTATTTAATAATAATTATTTAATAATAATTATTTAATAAATATAAAATTATCATACATTATTCGTACATTCACTTATCAACTTTAAATTAATTAATGCTTATTTTTATATATTCTATATAATTTTACCCGAGTAAGGGGATATAGAGTAAACCTATTTTATAATTGATGTAAGGAAAACAATTTACAAACTCTATTGAACACTATATTACAATATAATATTCTTATCTCCTTCATGAGTTTTAAGAAAATAGTAAAGTACAATGGTCTCTGAAGGCAAGTAAAATAACGATGGAAGAAAAGTGCAGACACCAAATTACATGCAAAACAATAAGGGGCGTATATCGTTAGTACCTGTTGTAGTTTCCACCTTCTTCTTCTTGATCTTCGACTTTAACCTACAATAGCTTTTCTGCATTTTAATCAACTTGGTCTCAACTATTTTTGTTTAAGGTATTCTGTACTTTAGCTATTGGCATGATATATTATGATTAGTTTAAGTGGGAAATAACCCTTGTTTTTAATTATGTAATGTGTCTACTTCAAATTTTTATGATTTTTGATATTGGCAATTTTTATGATTTCCAATAATTTAGGGTATTCACATTATCCTTTTATTTTTTAGCTTTTCATCAATTTCAAAACATCTTTACAACACCTTCTGCTAATATATTTGCCATACATTTTCATGATTCTTATTTAGTGAGCATATCCCGCTAATCCATATTTGGTCTATGTATTGTCGGGTAATACGCTGTGCTGATAAGGAGATTTTTGGGCTTGTCTCAGGTAAGCTAGTAAAATATTTTTGTTTTTTGAGTTTTAATATGCATTTATTAACAAAAGTCTTTTTATATATATATTATACCATATATTATATGTATCTTATACCATCTATGTTGAAATAAGAATATACATTAGTAGCACCAGAAACATTGAAAATTCGGTTTAAAAATACATGCGTTATTTGTTTTTAAGAACTAATTTTAGAACATTAATTCAGGTTCAGGCATAATTTAGCTAAACATTCTTTGGCTTATCAATTAAAAATTATTCAACACGTATGGTAATGAATTGAACTGACCATTACAAAAATTAAAGCGATATATGCAGACACACACATATATCATAGAATAAAATCCAGTGTCCAAAAATAAGCTTAAAAAGAACCATACAGAGTAGGCGAAACATAACAACAAGTTATATGTATAGTAAGGTTGGATTCAATTAAGGAATAAAAGGATATAAATGATGACGATATCCATAGCATATTCATTAAACTTCTTTAATTATTAAAAACGTTTATACATCCAAAGGTTTTCCAAAGAAAATTTTTATGATATTATTCTTAAGAACTATAAGTACTGTTAGTTGGCACTTTTTCTTGCTTCAATTTTTAATTTTTTTCTATTCTACATTTCTTCTCATTTCTAGGAGTGTTAACAATTTGACTGCTGTATAATTTTATGTATATTTTTGACATAAGTTAAATACTGACTATATCTCTGTCTCAAACAACGGATTCTTTCTTATAAGCAAATATAAAGAATTTCTATAAGAATAAGATTAAAATAAATTAAATGATTTATTTTTAATTTGTTTATTATTAAAATAAAAATATCTAGAAATATTATAAATAAGACAATTTTGTAAAAAAATATTTTCAAAATTTCGTTGGTTTTGGTTGTTTGGTAGAGCTGACTTATAGTAATTACTTTCGTTAATGACGTTCTTGATTTTTACATATTAAATTTGTAATTTGTAAAATTTTTTTGATATTAATTTTATAGAGAGGTTTATAGAGAGGTGAACTACAACAACAAAAATCCTTTTTATATTATTTTCATTAATTGAATTTTTGGTTGCCCACACAACTGTTTCGAGTATTTTCGAATACCCATCATTAGTGGTCTTGGAATTATTTCTTGTATTTAATTATTCGTAAATAATTTTTTAAGACTTAATTTTAAAAAATTTGGAATCTTTTAAAAAGGTGATTCACATTAATTTTTTAATTTACTGAACATTATAAATATAAAGAAATGTAGTCCAAATTTTCTAAAACTCTTCAAGTTACTCTCACTTAAGAAAATATTATTTATTATATAAATTAATCAAAAATCGAAGGTGCCACCTTTTTAAGTGTAGCGCAACAAATTACATTCATTATTAAACTCAGCTTAAACGACTTTAAACAAACATATTTACTTTTATTGTTTTATTTTTGAACTTTAAACGAAATAATTTATTTATTATTCTTTTTTTTTTTTTTTTTTTTTTTAAAAATGTATACGAATAAATACTCCATAAATTAATACCTTCGTATACGGTGGATATGGACTTACAAGGTGCATAATATCCAGCATCCTGTCTTCTTTCTGCTTTATTTCACTTTTGTATCACTTAAAGCTTTGGATTATTCTTATCACAATACGCAATTGAACTTCACATTCACATTTAGATTTACAATTTATTTGTTTATATTTTCTTTATATAATTTTATTTTACTATTTTCCCTCCAAATGTTGAATTTGCACAGCCCACAGCGGAACGACCACTCCAACAACCGAACTAATTCATTTTAAACCAAAAACTGAGAGTTTGATATGTAAAAAATCTTCAAGTTTTGGAATTTGAACATGTACACAAAGCAAACACCCAGTAGGAAATTTTATGACACCACAGTCTCATCGAGACAATAGTACACTCTTTGTTGATGATAAAGAAAAATTGCTTATTGCGTTTGAGTATTTACGTTTAATGGTGAGCGGAATTTCATCAAAAATTCTAAGTGTATATAGTTACGTGTTTTAAGAGATTGAAAGAGAAAATGAAGAGAAGTAAAGCTTTTCTACTAATAGCATTGCATTTCGCAATGTTAACTTAAAACAAATTAAATACTGTTGCGTGCCTTCATTAAGAAAAATAATCGAAATAATTTAAAATAGAGTGGAAGTGTAACGAAATCATTTTGTAGAAATATTTTTGGACTTTTGATATAACAGTTTGTTTAATATTTTTAATATATTTTATTTTTTAAACAATAAGAAACAATATTTAATGATTTAACAGATGTTTAAACTATATTTTGAATATTGAAACAACATATAAATAAAACATTTAACATAATTAATTTATTAATTTATAATAATTTGTTGTGTTATTAATTTATTTGTATTTTAATTAAACTTTACAATACGTTGTTTTATTTTTATTATTTTTTTTAATTTGCTTTATTTGGTTTTTATTATATTTGGAAGTTAATTTTATTTAATTCGTATTTCTTTGTTTTTACATAAATAAATAACATATTCTTATGTTATTTTTACATTATTATTATTATTTAAATTTTTTTTATTTTATTTTTATCTCGTAGGAAAATAAACAATGTATGTTTATAAGATTTTTAAAACGTTTTTGGCAGCCATCTATTAACGTATAGTTCTTTCAATTATCAGCAGTGGACTTTATTTTTGATTTCCTCTGAAGTTATCATTGGAACAACTTACAAATATCATAACTCAGTTATCAGCTATTACGTTGCCTTCGAATTTTTTTTACATGTGTTTATGTGTTCGTACTAAGGTATGAGATTCTTATAGATTTGGACTAATTTAAATTTAGTCGTTTCAAACTAAAGAGTTCATATGGCTGCATGATTATCTGAATATAAAACATTATATTATCTAAGACTATACTTCGTCCATGATATTGAAGTAAACTATATATTTAAATATATCATTTGATATTGACATTTATATCTTAACTAATTTGTACTGTCATTAACCACTTTTAATTAATGAATGTCATATCATATCTGATATCGTTGCGAATCTATTAGGTCTATGTATGGTCTGTGTCAGTCAGCTCTATTTTTCTACCTATGAATATACGTAGAGATATTAATTTTAAAATTCTTTATGGTAATTATTTTGTATATATTCCTTGCATTCGTAATAGTTTAAATCTTTTATCTTTACTCAGTACTTTTAGAGCATCAATTTACTTGGTTTTTGATGGCAATCATATCTATAAACAGACATTATAAATGATTCTGTATGAGAAAATTGCGCATAGGTAGTATTAAAAGCTGATTATAAAGCAATTATAATATATAATATATATTAAAAATAATTTCTCAAATAATTATGGCATCGGTATTTGGTTCTGTGTTTAGTTGATAAGATAATAATATTCTTTTGTATTCAACAGAAATATTTATCTATATCAATTACATCAATTTAATCACAGATGGGTAAAATTTTACACAATTTTGAATTAAATGTATGTTTACAAAAATGTGTGTGCTCTGCTAAATAAAAAATGTTTACAGTGTAAACACTTTGTCTCTCATCATAAACTTTCATATTTGTACGTAAATTATGAATGAAACAAACCTATTTATCATTATTATTGATAAGGCTGAGAGATCCAAAAAATATCGGCCATTGAACGAATAATTGGTTTATACCCATTGTTTGATAATATTCGCAACAATTAAAAAGTGCATTATACTTATAAATACTTTTGATAATAGCTGAGTCAATAAATCAAAGCGTATGAAGTGTAAGTATTGCACATTGGTTGAGTTGTTATTATTTAAAAAATGTTCATTCAATTAAATTAAGAATATAATTTACAACAAATTAAATACGAAAATAATTAAATTTGTTTTTGTGTTGTAAAAATAATATTTAAATAATTATTTTGACTGTGTGCGAGTTCGAGTAAATTGATGGTAAATTGAGAGAAATAGTAAATTATGTCGGTTTGGCAGCGAATGTTGGTATTTAACAGAATTTTGAGTAGGGTAAATTAGATAAAAATAAGGTTAGGTGTTACCCATGTGAACAATTAATAAGATGTTTAATAATTAAATAAATAAATTTGAAAACTTTTAAGCAAAAATAATAAATAAGTGCAATAAATAAATAAAATAATAAATAAGTTCAATAAATTGATAAAAAAAATATTCACATAAGTGCAGTGCAAAAAAAGCTCTAGAATATTTCAATTTACTTTACCTCAATTTACTTTAACTCGCACACGGCCTTAATGTTAATTTTTTCTTGCTGAGATTGACGCGTCTTTATGACGAAAAGAAACTATTTAAAAGTTTGACGAATTCGAATATCAAAGAAAAGACAAGACAAAAATATAGTTCAAAACTAAAAATTTAGTTCAAAACTAAAAATTTATTTCAATAAATTAACTAAATTTTTGTGTTTGTCTTTTCTTTGCTTCGAATTCGAAATGCGTCTTAAATAATTATTATTCTTTATTATATATTAAAATTATTATATATTAACTTTTATTAACAGAAATATGTATTTTAAATTAAGTATTCAAATTCATATGATATGGTAAAGACTATTCAATACATTGAATTCGTGAGTATTTAGGACGTGTGCGAGTTAGGCTAAGTTGATGCTAAACCAAATGGGAGATTTTTTGGGATTTTTTGCACTGCACACATTTAGCCATTTATCAACATGTATCGACACATCACTACATTATCGCCACAACTTAGAATTTCCCTCATTTAGAACGCAACTTAGCCTAACTCGCACACGACCTTAATACTCATTGTTTATGGGTTGTGATGCTCCAGTCTATTGTATGGGGTTGAGAATTTCCTACAGGTCATTTAATTGAGATTTGAGCTTAAAAGCTTAAGAGAGAGGTACAGAAAAAAAACGTCTGATAAGATTTGTCTCTTTTGATTGTTGCTTTTCTGTTTGTCATCGCTTAACACCTTCGTCGCTCTTAGCATGCAACAAGTTGTTTATATTTTGTGAATTTTTTTTTATTTTTTATATAAATATACCCGGTGTATATTTTTGTTTTGTATACAAATTACTTGAAAAAAAGCATTGACGCTCACGAAAGCTTTCATAAAATAAAAAGCTGTTGATAGTTCGATTGTGCGTCAAAGTATCTTTCCTCTTTAAAGGAAAAGCTTGAGTGCATCCTTTCGAAGGATACAAATTTTAGTTAGTATTTTTCTGTGCATTTGTGTGGTGTCTCCGACAGATTTTCATTCTAATTGAAATCAATCAATAAAAAGGTTATTAAAAAACTTTTTTTAATAGTTATAATAAAAATATAAAATTTATATTAATTTTAAGAAATATATAATAAAATAAAACTTAATTAACTTAAAAGCAATAAGATTTGTGGTACAAAAACAGTAAAGATTTTAATATGAAAATTGTGTATCCCACAGTCCACAGTCCAGAATATTTTCGATTAAATTTGATGATTGCTATTAAAATTTAATTATATTCTTGTTTTTCATTAGCTTTTTTCTGTTAGATGACTTAAGTGAACAAAAATTAATTACATAAAGTGCTCCGTATCGATTTCGAATTAATTATTTTTATGTAACATTTTTATATAAGTGAAATACATACATAATTTCTTGAACAGTGCTTAAGAGCAATTTACTTTTTTCTTATTCCGAGTGACCATCAGGCAGAGGAAAGTAGAAAAAGGTAACCCAATTTCTTCGTAAAATCTGCTCAAGAAGACCTCTCAGATATGCAACTTGTAAGGCCAACAGAATGTTTAACCTTTCACTGTTTTATATGGAAAACTATTTTTATATCTGAAATTAATCTATGTAATAAAGAGTTAAATGTGAGAAAAATGAAAAACACAATTAAAAGTATACAAAAATCGTGGACATCATTTATCAAAATAATTAAGTCAATATTGACTTAATTGTAAAACGAATTGTAATTAAGGATGTCATATTGCTTATGAATTTTTCAATAAAATAAATTCATATCCATTACGAAGTAATTTTTTTTATTTCATTAAGACAGTCACTGCTCAAATGAAATAAGCTGTATAATTATAATTAATGAAGACACAACTTAAAGCACCAGTTAACAATACAAAAAAGTGAAAAAAAATATCATGAATAATGAAAACCAATAAAATGCTAATTAACAGCACTAAAAACACAGTGCAAGAGAAAAAATATCTTATCTAAAGAAAACTTCTGTATAAACGTTCTTAATAATGAAAAAATCATTGACTTTGCCAAAGTTCAAATATATTTTGTACTGATCTGTTAAAAATTATTTAACGAAACATTTTACAGTAGAACGCTCAGACATATTTTCAGGTTAATGATAAATTGTTGTACATACAAGAAACATGAAAGAGGTTAAAGTAGCGGCATTGTGCCCAAAGACAACTTAAGCTCAAATAATAGTTCGTTGTGATATCACATTTACTTTGTTCATATATAGACCAGAACCATTTCCGAAAACATCGTAGTGGTCAACGTACAAACAAAGCTGAAAGGTATGACTTCTCAATCAAGTGAAAGCAAACCAACCCGAGTAGTCTATAAACTTGACCAAGTCCCTAATTTTATAGGATCAAAGCTCTGTCAAAAAGCCTTAAAAATTTTGAATCTTTTTATAACCAATGATGGACACTGACACATGAGGTGTATAACAATTTTCATCTCCTGTGCAGAGCCACAATTGCGACAAAAGTTATTATAGAGAAGTCCCGGTCTCATAGAATGTCTTCAAAAGCCCTAGTGATCCGACAGCATCGATACTTAGCACTGAGCA